TGCTGGGCGGCCCAACTCCAGAGGAAGATCACCTTCCCATTCCCTCCCCTTCTTCCAGCTCCCCATCTACCTCACTGAGAGCCACCTCCACCAGTCAATAAAATCTTGCATTCATCCTCAAGTTTGTGTGTGATCTGATTCTTCCAGGACGCTGGGCAAGAGCTTGGGATAAAGAAGGCTGTCACACTGGCCCTCTGCCCTTGCAAAAAGGCAGCAGGTCCACTGAGCTGATTAACATTCAAGCTGTCTGTAATGGCAAAGCTGAAAGAGCTTTGTAGTACTGGGGTTGCAGGTACCCACCCCTAGATACTAATGTGGGGCCAGACCCAAAAGCGCTCTCCCTGGGCCCTGCACGTGCCCATCTGTATGCTCCCACTCTGGCTAGGGACTTGAGCAGTAAGGTGACCGAACAGGTGAGCCACACCCCTGTCACACATCCTGCGAGAGGTATCAGGGAACTCTTCCACTTCAAAAGGAGGAAAAAGAGACTGGATACTGGCGGATAGTTGGCAGTCTCTGTCACAAAAACTTTATGGCAAATATATATGCAAAGTGACAAAAATCTGAGTAATAAATACAATAAGGGTTCTCTATGTATTTGTACATATTTTTGGGGGAAATTGAGATAGGGAAGCAATTACGCTTAATACAGATGTTGTTAATTTGGTATTAATATGGATCTAAATGCAAGACCCTTTCCTTTATTTCAACATGTCAATATGCCAGCATATCAAAGGAGCATGAGAATGTCCTGTCCTCACTAGAGGAGCATGGAGGAACACATGGTTTGGTGAATATATGAAGTTGTAGGTGTGAGAAATGCATGGAAGTCCAGAATGGAAGTCTCGATAGTGGCTGGGGCGGAAAGAACAATGGGACTGACAGTGGGTAAGAGTGAGACACATGGTGGTAGGTTTTGCAGAATAGCAGGAGGAGAGGAAGAGCACAAGAGACACTCATTTACAATATAAGTGTGTGGTGTTAGACATCAAGGGAGACCATGGAAGAGAGTAATGTAACCTACATGGGAGGCAGGGAAAAGCTTGACAGGAACATTTTACACGTGACAAACAGCAACAACAGCATGGGCGGGAGTTCTGAAGCACCAAGCTAGAAGAGTGCCAAAGTTGAAAAGGGCTCAGGAAGGGGTTTGTTTTGTTTCTTTAGCAAAAAGCAGAAAAAGCAATAGATAAGAGAAACGGCAGCAGTAGCTGAATTGGGCATCAACCTAGATACAGGGAAGGGGGAGGAGATGAATTCAGGATGCCCCAGAGGCAAAAGCAAATGACCATTATGCATAAATGTGGATGCACACTAATCACCAGGGAATTCTTTGTCTTTGTGCTGAGTCTGAGGAGCTTTAAAGATGACTAGAAAACAGCAAGTAGAAAAAGAAGGCACAGAAAAAATGAAATAATAATAATTTACTGAGGAATCAGCAACCTCAGAAATTCTATTTGTTAATTTTTCTATAAGGGGCCCCAGAGAGGAAACTATAATAAAATAATTTTGTGGCCTTCATCCTCATGAGTACTCACCTCCGCCTTCAGTTCAGGAACTTTCTTCTGGAATATTGCTGAGGAACAACACCTTTCCTGCTCACTAGCCGTCTGGTTCATGGCGGGAACGCTTCTCTCCCCAGGGCTGGTTCCCACAGTAATGTCTGAATAAGCCACACAGTCGCTCATTAAAACCAAAAATATCGTTGCAGAAGCCTCTTTTTGGGGAAGGCTACTGCAAATTCAGGGAACTCGCTGAACAACCTATTTACTGGAACTGACAATTGTTCTCAATGGGTTTCCCTACAGAACAGGCTGGTGTGGGGAGATCTGGTGGTAAAGGCCAAGCACGTAGCACTTCTTCAGCACTACATTTACAGATAGGAAATGAGACATGGCTTTCTTCCCAGGAAGAGCCTGTATTTTTATATTACTCACAAAAAGGGAAATCTGTAAAATCAGACCATTTTATCTTAGAGTCATATAAAGTCACATCATTTGATTTTTAGAAACACTTAGAAGAAAAGGATGACTATAGGCCTGCTTTACTATGTGCATAGGTGGGTAGAAGTGAGGAGGGCGTATTATAAAATGAGTTTGCATTCCATAGAGCCAACATGGTTATATCAAATATTAAATATTTTATTTATTCAAGGACTACTAAGTGATTGTGACATCTAGAGGCCACATTCCAAATAATTAAGAGTAAATGCCACAGCTAATGCACAGGAGAGGGACAAGACTCAGAAGACTTTGGTTATAATTCCTATTTGACCTCTCACTGGCTTTCCATGTCCATCTCCACATAGACAAGGAGCCTGAGGGTAGAGACTGTGTGTCATTTCTAATTCTTGGTGCTTGGACTGTACCTGCAAAACAGGCACTCCACAAATGCTTGTTTACTGAGTATATTAGGTGAATCCACATGGAACTGCCAGTGTTTTGGGTAAAAAATAATAATCAAATATTATAATTTCATATGACTCAACTTAATATTTCCATCTAATTTTGTCCACATATTGTATGAATTTGCTTTTCCCTAAATGCGCTCATGTTTCTGTGCCCTACTTTTTTATTGAAAAGCCCTGTCTCCTGTCCTATATCAATCATATTCCTTCCTTGAACATTCTTGTGAATTACTCATTCCCAGGCACACCCAGCAGTTGCTAGCTGGTATCTCTGTGTGTCTTCCTCTAAACTGTAATCATATTGCATTTCCTCAGTGCCTACCCAAAAATTTGTCATAATGTTGAATTACCTATCTAAGGATAAAGTCACTATAGCTCTGAAACCCAGTTTCCTTCCTAGAGAAAGAAGAGAATCCCTGCCTGGCCAATATAACAGAATTCTTGAGAGTTAACATATGAGGACTTAAAATGACTAACAGTAAAGCCTCCAGGTTGTTCTTCTTAAAGGGGGTGGTTTGAAAGTGTTAAGTGCTAGTGATAGGCAATTTGTTTTCAGCTCAGTCTCAGGGAGGGATTGACTCTTCCCAGCCAAAACATTTCAAAAGATGCACCCAGTTGACAGACTGAAAAGAGAATGTTGATCACATAGGGAGGACACAGAGTCAACGAGAACACAGACAGAGTCCTTGTGTTAAAGAGAAAGAGACCAAGAATTTCACATGCACAATTATTTCCTTTAACTTGTAACAGGGGCACATAGCACTTGACAGGGTGAACTGAAAGAAATCAAAGGCTGCATTCGAAAGCAAACTAAAGACTGCTCTGTGTACAAATGAAGAACTTTTTGGGGAATAATTATAACAGCATTAAAGTAAGGAGAGGGAAGGGGGAAAGGAGGCAAGGAGGGAGAAGTGAGGGTAAGAATATCATGGGACACACAAGACAGTATCACAAGTACTTGGAGAAGATTCTAGACTCAATGAAAAGCGGCAGACTACTCCCTTGGGCATAATAGTTAAGGGATATTTCTTCATTCTTAATTAGGAGAAGCTAGAGACTCATAATAAATATGTTACTTTTGGCAAGTTGCTGAATGTTACTTTAAAAACTGGTATTAATAGTTCATATCTTATAGAGCTGACATAAACATGAAATAAGATATTGAACATAAATACACATATAAAGTGCTCAGCATATGGCAAGTATATAATACATATTGGAATAGCTCTTATTATTTAATATTCTTTGGCAAACTATATGGTCATTCTCAAGTAATCCTTTTACTATCTTCGTGAATTGCCCAGTTGAATAACTCTCTAGGAAGAGTCCTGAACTTTAAGTATTTGACCTATTATAAGCAAAACCAGTAAACGGAATACTGAAGAAGCAGTATCCATAGATGGTTCTATGACAGAAGTGTTCTCCATCTGTATTTATTCACTATGGTAAGCATAAACCACATGAAGCCATGGGGCACTTGAAAGTGCTGCTAAGGAAGCAGTTTTTAAAATTTAATTATTTCAGTTTAAATGGACACATACTATATTGGACACTGTTGCCCCCATACATACCAAAAGACCTATACAGGTCACTGTGGCCTAGTGTGGCTCTGGATTAGGTGACCTGGATTTGAAACCACAATCTTCCCTTTAGAAGCAGAACTACTTTAAGCAAGTAACGCAGCCTCCCATGCCTCCTCAGTTTCAACTTTCACAATCTGAGGTTGATAACAGTATCTACTTTATTGGCTTATAGATTAAATTAGAGAATGCAAATAAAGCGATGGTTCTCAAAGTTCAGCATGCATCAGTATCACCTGGAAGGCGAAGACACCAATTGCTGGGTTCATCCTCCAGGTTTTTTATTCAATAGGTCTGAGGTAGAGTCAGATAATCTGCATTCCTAATGAGTTCCCAGGTGATGCTCATGTTGCCGATCTGGGGACCACACTTGGAAAAACACTGTTATAAGCCATTTAGTGTGGTGCCTGATAAACAATGAGAACTCAATAGTGTTATTATAAGCATCTTGATGGTGTACATCAGGAGGGCTTTTGCAAAAAAAAAAAATTCAGCTTTATTAGAAATCTCTAGCCCATTTTCTGACATGTACTTTTGATAAATGTTTATGAGTCACCTACAAAGGGCAAGACACCCCCACTGTGTTGTGTCAAAGTGGGTTTGAAGCAAGGTTTCAGAGCACCAGGTTACATGACCATTATTATTACCATCTGAAATATTTTTGACCATTTCAACTTTCTACAAAACATACAGGAAAAAATAAAAATTAAGTTTCTCTCCAATTTTTCATGTCCATTAGAAAGATTGTGAAGGTCCTGTAAACGATAGGTGGAAGGGATGTGAAAATAGATCTAGATTCTATGCTTGGCTCTTTAATCAACTTCCTGAGATCACTGGGTGTGATGGATAATTTTTTTTTTTTTTTTTTTTTTTTTTGAGACGGAGTCTCGCTCTGTCGCCCAGGCTGGAGTGCAGTGGCGCGATCTCGGCACCCCCCACCATGCTCGGCTAATTTTTTTTTTTTTTGTATTTTTAGTAGAGACGAGGTTTTCACCGTGTTAGCCAGGATGGTCTCGATCTCCTGACCTAATGATCCGCCCGCCTCAGCCTCCCAAAGTGCTGGGATTACAGATGTAAGGCACTGCACTCGGCCATGATGGATAATTTTATGTCAACTTGACTGAGTTAAGGGATATCCAGATAGCTGGTAAAGCATTACTCTGGGTGTGTGTGTGAGGGTGTTTCTGGAAGAGATTGGCCTTTCAATCAGTAGACTCAATAAAGGAGATACACCCTCATCAATGTGGGCTGACATCCAATCAGTTGAGGGACTGACTAGAACAAAAAGACAGAGGAAGGGCTAATTTGCTGTCTTCTAGAGCTGAGACTTCACCTTCTCCTGCCCTAGGACATCAGAGCTCCTGGTTCTCAGGCCTTCAGACTCTGGGACTTACAGTGGCCCCCAGGTTCTCAAGCCTTCAGCCTTGGACTGACAGTTACGTCATTGGTTCCTCTGGTTCTCCAGCCTGAGGACTTGGACTGCATCACACCATCATCTCTCATGGGTCCAGCTTGCACATAGCCTATCATGGAACTTCTCAGCGTTCATAATTGGGTGAGCTAATCCCCATAATAAATCCTCTAATATACAGATATATATCCTATTGGTTCTGTTTCTCTGAAGAATCCTGATTAATACTGATTAACCAGGCAAGATTCTCTTAATAATTATGGGCCAAGTTTGGACCTGAACAGTTCGGTCACTTAAAAAAAAAAACAACAGGTTGCAAACAAGTCCACCCTCACCAATGCATAGACTTTGGTCCCTGGAAGTTATCACAAGTTATTTGTTTTTCTCCTCTGAGATTCTTTCCATAGTGCCTTAGTTTTTTGGAGGAAAGGTATTGCAAGGGGGTAAAAAACCACACAAACAGATAAACAGATAATTGGCTTGATAGATCTACCTTTAGTTTTGTCATTTTCCAGTATTCATAATCCTTTCAAAGTTTCCTTTAAAGGGGAAAAAAAGAGGCCTGTAAGAAATAGCTCAAAGAGGTTCTAGGATTTATAGACATCCCATTCCAATATAAGATACAAAAGGCAAAATGTTTCCTTTTCCCATGATCCAGGCTAGCTCCAAGAATCCTAAAAAGGATCTTTTAATTCGGATTCTGAGATGTGGTGTTTTGTGGATTTACATGTGTTCTGACACGAGGACCACTCTACTTCCTTAAGAAACATGAGCAAAAATGCTTTGCTCAACAACCTAGTTAGGTATGTACAAATGGTGATCATGGTCCTTACTGACAAAAAACTTATAAGCAATTTCTGTTACAAAATCGATCTTCCTAACAGGTCTTGTTGTATAAGTCAGGATTATCATTTTCATTTTCAAGTGTCAGAAATAGAAGTGCAGAAAAGCTAGGTTTTAGGGTGACATTACTTAACTGAGGTAGAGGCAAGATGAGAAGCTGTCAGTCATTGGGAATATCTGATTTATCAGTCTTCACTGCTGTTGTAGACTGGCAGAACCTATTTCAAAGTGTTTCTGCAAAAAGCATAGAGGAGAGAACTTGGGACCTGCCTTGGGGATTGTGATGGGGAAATGTGACCACGGTTGTCTGAATCCAGATTTTAAGTTCGCATCTATTGGCTGAATTGATGATATAAACGTCATCAGTCGTTCCAATACCCACCTTCAAAATCAGAATGTTTAGAGTCTAAAAAATGCTACCTTTCAGCATTTTTATTTTTTGGTACTGATGAAACAAGCACTATTCTTAAGAATAAGGGGTAAGAGTTTTACTCTTAGATTTGCTTCTCTTATGGAGTGATATCATACAAGCTAATTGGATTCTCTCAGCTTCACTTTCCTCATGTGTAAAATGACACTAATTCTCCTAATTCATAGGGGGTTGGTGAGACTAAACTGAAATGAACGCAAGAAAGTACTTATTAAGAATATAATTCAGGGACTTGGGCTCTTGTACAGTAAATAAATCAAGTCAAAATAATGCAACCTCCTTAGAAGATCATATCCCATATCTCTGAATTAAAAAACAAATTATTGCTGGAACAGTTGGTGTCATCTCTTGGAAAACAAGTTAATCAACTTAAATATATTAAATCAGGCACCATCTCAGTGACAAACAAACTATAAGAATGGACTTGTTTTTATGAGATCTGAATACAAATTAGCATCTGATCAAATGGCATCTCAAGGATTAAACATCTAAGAACTCTATATATTGCTTTATAAAAGGGTTGAAGTAGATAAAGTGTGCATCTGTTACACTAAGTACTCCAGAAGGAAGCACAAATGACACTCCATTTCCCAAATTACTCCTTACCTCAATCACATTTGTGTAGGCCAAGGAGTGTACCTCAATAATTGGGGATTCAGACAGCTATGCCTTCTTTATTTATTTATTTTTGTTGTTGTTCACAGCATTTTGTTGATGGGGTTTGGAACACTGTCGTATTTCAAAGCTACAAAGCAATATTCATCAAATAAAGCCAATAATCAGCTATACCAAATTAAATGTCCCAAAACTATAACTTTTTCTCGTGAGGAAAGCTGCCGTTATCAGAATGCATGGAGTGCAAGGCACAAAAGCCTTACTGTGATTCGTTGAAACTTCCTATAGAAAACCCACCAATTTCTTCACCTCCTGGCACACAGGGTATGCTAATTCTTTGGCTTTTGCTGATCCAATTTGTAAAACTTTCTCTAAATGGTCCTTGTCCAGCTTCAGTTTTTCAATTTCACGCTTAATTGGGGCAAACTTCTCAATCACAGCATCTGCCACGGCCAGCTTGTAGTGAGCAGTGTCCATGCCCGCGCTGCGGCGCACCACTTCCTCCACCGAGAGCCCCGTCACCGCGGCGTGCACTGCCACCATGTTGGACACGCCAGCGCGGCCAGCCGGGTCATAGGTGACCTCCGAGGTGAAGTCCGTCACAGCCTTGCGGAATTTCTGCACTATCTCCTCTGGGCTGTCTGTTATTCGGACGGTGGCCAGTTTGTCAGGGTCTGATTTCGACATTTTGGCAGAAGGATCACGGAGGGATTTTACCTTCTTCATGGATGCTAGGTTAAAAACACCAACACACACATACCCAAAACAAAAACAAAACAAACAAATCACCAAGATGTATATACAGACAGTTCCCAACTTGCAATGGTTTGAATTATGATTTTTCAACTTTACAGTGGTATAAAAGTGATATCCATTCAGAAGAAACTGTACTTGAAATACCCACACAACCATTTTGTTTTTCACTTTCAGTATAGTATTCAATAAATTACATGAGATATTCAATACTTTGTTGTAAAATAGGCTTTGTGTTAGATGATTCTGCCCAATTATAGACTAATGTAAGTGTTTTGAGCACGCTGAAGGTGGCTAGGCTGAGCTGTGATGTTCAGTAGGTTAGGTGGGTTAAATGCATTTTTGATTAACAGTGTTTTCAACTTACAATGGCTTTATCAGGATGTAACCCAATTATAAGTCAAGAAGCATCCGTTTATACTTTGTAAATTATGTACTACTTTTAAAATATTATTATTTTAAATTTTTTGTCTCTTCCATACTTTTAAAATATTTTTAGTTACCCTTTCCAATAACCCAACATCTTTTTCAGTAATCCAGTGTGGTCTACTTACTAGTCCTACACTAGAGAAAACAATGAGGACTCTAGTTACAGATCCTGAATCCTGTCTACAAGAAAGCTGAGGTTAGTCCCAAGAAAGTTCCAAGCCTGTCTATTGTCCAATCCTCTCTTTAGAATATACCCTGATGTAACAATTATAAGTTTGTTACTTACTTAGAATGGACTTGGGCACTGGAAAGAACTCCCCATACTTCTTGTTGAAACCTTCTGCTAGGTCCTGAACTAGTTCCATGTGCTGGACTTGATCCTCCCCAACAGGAACGTGTGTGGACCTTTAATAAAAGACAGACAGAAAAACACAGCAAGGCTCTTTCTTAGAGACAGAAATGATATTGCAAGCAGCTGCATTTCCTGTGAATATTTCACTGTCGGTGTTCAACAAATGTTCACCAACTATAGAGGGAATGTTTAGACCTAAGTCTTTATCTATGGATCAGACAAAAGCCAAAGAGATGTTTCTCTACTCTAGTTGTGTTTTTTCCATAGCAGAGGAATACAGCAATCAACACCAGAATAACAGGATCTTGCTGGGAGGGAGGAATGGGATTTTAAATAGCATATGCTCTAGGTACAATTGTGTTTTAAAACTACTCCTCATTCCCTCACCCAGTCAGCACATATTATCCCAGGCCTGGCCAGATGCTTTTTACCTCAGAACTGCAGCTCACACTTGAAAGACACCCCACCCCACTCTTCAAATCAAAGGCGGCAGAAAGTTCTTCAGGCAAGAGTTTTTCCTCCCTGTCACATAGGGAGTAATTCAATATTCTTTTGCAGTAAGCTTCATTTTCAAGTACATTGCAATCACAGGACAATTAATATGTTGCAGAGAACTTAAAATCTACAAGTACAGTGTAGATGGCTATCAAAAAGCAAGTTGGAGAAAACGTGAAGTACATTGACATTTATGTAAATTTTATAAGTGCATATGGAAATATATCTGTAGTAATAAGCATAAAAACATACTGGAAGCTCCTCCCCAAATTTATAATTGTAGCTGCTACTAGAGAAGGTGGGAAGGAAATAGATCTGAAGAACAAAGGAGACTTGAATTTTATCTGTAATATTTCATTTTATTAAGAAATGAAGATGTGAAACCAAAAATATCAGAATATAGGGAATGACTTTATCATGACTTTAATCCCATATGTAAAGTTGGCAGTGGTAGATCATGACACTGCAAACTTTATTACATCAAATAAGGGAAGAATGAACCATTATAGAGAAGTCTTGATGAGGAAAATTTTATACTGAAGCCTTATGGAGGGATAAAGAACAGGCGATTTTATATATGTAATGCTTGGCTGAGAGTTTATACTTGATAATACAAGTAATACAGTGCTCTGAGGTTTTTTTAATCAAAGAAACAATATTGCCCCTGTGAAAAAAGTAGCGAGACACCATAGGCAAGTTTCTTAACCTTTCTAAGCCTTCGTTTCCTCTGTAAAGTGAGGGTCATGATGGAGCTTACCTCATATGGCTCTTTCATGGATTACAAGTATACTACTTGATAGTAATTAGCTCTATAAATGGTTGCTATTGATATTTCTCTCTATATATATATACATTCATTAATATCTGACATGATGAAGGACAAAATGGTAAAATAAAGATACTATAAAGAACCCTGATGAGGGGTACACTGACTTTTTTCACACCGGATCATTTTCCTTTTTCAGAGCTGACATACCACAAATAAGAACGCATAATCCCAGAGATAGTCACAGACCTGGGCAGTGATCCTGATATGCATAGAAACCTTACTTGAAACTGACAGTTCACATATCTGATCAGGTAATCCCAAAATATAAATCGCATGTTACAGGAATTCTGAGAGCTCTTTTAATTTAAGGAAAACAAGAACAGAACAATCAATGGAAAGGCAAAATATAAGGACCATGACAGCAGACCCAGAAGGCGTTTCTCTTCTTCTAAGGCCAA